AGACATTTATAAACATCCACATGATATATTAGTACATCTGTGAACATCTCCACTGGCATCGATGAACATTTTCATAGGCATCCATTGACATCCATAGAAAGATCAAGCAGTGGACATCTCCAGGCGTAAATAATCAATCTTTAGCGGAACTACCCGAGTTGTTTACTTAAAATGTGGTCATTAAACCAAAGGCTTTCTAGTAAGGTTCAAAAGCCAAGAATTTCAAATCAAATAAATTTCCAAGCACGCCAAGGCAGTTAAAACAGTAACTTGCACAAGTCAAGCTCAATAATTTTATGCCATGTATGCACAATTAGCAAGTACATTTCCAGAACAGAGTGAAAGCCCCATGAGGATCAAATCAGATTAAAAGACTTGTTTCCGAGCTTTGTAAATCACTATATATATACATACTAATATCTTTCAAAATCTGATTTAAAAACTACCATTTCCAATGGTTCAAGTCATATCTTCTCATATAGCAGAAGTCTTGTTTAAACCATGCTCAAAGCATATCATCTCATTCAAACTCAGCGGTTGTAAAATCGTGCCTATAGCTACCAGCTCATGCAATCCCAACTGGCTATTAAATCAACAAACCAATGTTCAAATCCATAATATTTCTCAGCTCAATAGACCATGTTCCTGCTAACATAAAAGGCAGTAAATTCATGCTTCATGCTTACTGTGTGTATATATATATATATATATTTTAAAATAAGTACACCCACTCACCTCGATATCACCACAGCAACTTAACTATACAGCTAACCAATCTTCAGTTACCAGACTTCTGCTCCAATGTAGTCCAAAAATAAGCCAAGGCATCACAACTAGCACTACACTGAACCCTCCATTGCTTTGTAACTAAATTTCCAGCTCAACCATAAATCTCAAGCTTCAACAGAATTAAACTTTTCCATCTTTCCTAGCATTCAGAAAATTTCCAGCATTATCACTTCACTTTCTTAGCTTCCAGCTAACATTCAAACACCTCAATTGCATATCTATAATCTACACATTCCTTCCTTACCTTGGTGACCGGAATCAACTCAAAAAAACTTCCCAAAGTCCTCAACCAAAGAGAGACAGCCTGCTCCAAATGAAGCATAAATCAAATTTAAAATCTAAACCGATTAAACTTAAGTTTATACCTCAAAACAGGTTACCCTTACTTAGTTTCTCACATTTTCAGTCTCTAATCACCAATGTGTAAGCTCAATAACCAGGGACAATGTGCAGCAACCGACCATGGAGAGAAAATAAAAAGCTTTGCTTCTAATTGAAATAGGTGGATTGCCCAAGGTTCTTTTATTTTTTGCCAACTCACAATGATATATTGATAAATTTAGAAATCTATTGATACAATTTTAATATTTTCACCTAAATCTATCAATATATTTATCAATGTATTGATAGAAATCAAACAAAATACTCTGTCTTAAATCTATCGTTATTTAAATTTTTCAATGCATTTTTAAATATATCGATGAAATTTTCATGAAATACTTTCTCAAATTTCCTGTTAATAATCTATGGAAATATTCTTGTCCATAAGCTAACCTTCCAACTCCATGTTTCCAAGTTCCCAAGTCATTTCAACTTCTAGCACACCTTAATTCAACCACATAACTCCCAATTATACACATTCAAAATATAACCCAAACTTTCAACTAACTTCGAAACACACTAAATTATCAATCATGCTTCAATGTTTCTACTTAAATGGCACGGATTCGCATAGTGATAACCTTATGCACATATTTTAATTTCGTATTACTCATCAAGTATGCACCATATTAACCAATTTACAAGCCAAAACATATCAACATATGGCTCAAAGCTTTGATCAAACTTGAAAATACATGTCATATGCATAAGCTCGAATCTTTGAGTCAACTCATCAAGTCACATGGCTCAAGCCATAAATGTTCTTTATCAAAGTTGGGAGTGTTACAACAATCTCCCCCACTTAGACCAAACTTGATAATGTAAAACCTTTTATATGTATTCAATTATTAATTCGGCCTTCTCCTTATTTTAGTGTTATTTTATTCCGTACTTCTCTTTCAACTCATGCTTTCGAGAACTTTTATGAACCTTAATTCACTTTAAAACACATTTATTAGGCCTTTCTACCTAACATTCGAGGGACAAGATGTTACATCAATTAAATTTTTATATTTTTATTTTAATTCTAATAAACTCTTATAACTAATAATTAACTAAATGCTATTAATCAAAATGTTACTTATCATTTTATATCCATATAGTATTAATATGGCGTTGATGTATTAGAAGATAAAAAATAACCCATGGTTATATTATTATGTTAACATATCATGTTATTATTAATTATAATATATTAACATATTACATTATTATCAATTATAATATATTAGCATATTATGTTAGCATTACACAGTATAAAATAATAAATATGATTACGTTAATTATTTGTTATAATGACTTATTTGATTCAAAATAAAAATATAAAAATATGACCAATATAATAAAAATAAAAAATTTATTTAAATTTTTTTAATAATTTAAAAGTTTTTTAGATATTATCTATATATTTTTTATTTCAATAGTTAAAGCCATGTAATGGATTTGGACTTCTAGAAAGGAGATGAGAGAGGCGTGAAACCCGATTGGAGCAGTCTCTGGAAACTTCCGGATCAATTAAAGCCCAAAAAGATCGGGCGACCCGTTATTGAGTTATACACCAACTCAACGAATCTCAGCCGTTCTTTACTGTAAACCTGAAAGAAAAACCCTAATTCTTCAATAGGCTAAAACCCTAAGCCCACCGCTCTTTATAAACGCTTCTCCTCATTCTTTTCTTCGCAGTCCCCAAAACCTCCATTGCTTGATTTCGTTTTTTTTTTGCCTTAATTGTGTGTTTTCCTTTTGAAATAATTTTGTTTAGTTTGATCGAATAGTCAGATAGGAGATTGAGTCGATGATGATAAATCCAAAGGCTTGTTTCTCAAGAACATTCGCAGTGGCCGCCTAAGAGCTTTCGCCTTCGCCGGGCTTGAGAGCTTGTGCTGTTTCACTCCTTCCTTGGATGTCTGAGACCTTTTAAAGGCACTTCGAAATCAGTTTTTCTGTTTTCGTTGGTGGTTTCTTAGTTATTAATTAGTTCAGTCTTAGTTGCTGTTATAGTGCTCTGTTCACTTGATACTTGTTTAACTTATTTTGATGGTTGGGTTGATGATGACAAATCCAAAGGCTTGTTTCTCAAAACATTCGCAGTGGCCGCCTAAGAGCTTTCGCCTTCGCCAGGCTTGAGAGCTTGTGCTGCTTCATTCCTTCCTTGGATGTCTGAAACTTCTGACATAATTTTTGTTTCTACTTGTTGTTCACATGCATCTTATACTGTGATAATTTGATTTCTTGCATTTCAGATCCAATTTTGGAATTTGAATTGTATTTTCTTTGTTTAGCTGTTTGTCCTCTAATCAGTAAGTGCAGCTTCAGCTTCAAAGAGCTTCGGACTCTCCTTGGCATGGACTTGGGCATTGTTTTGGATTTCAACTTTGGGGGACTGAGGGTCCAGAAATTAGTATTTTTAAGGGTTTGAAGTTTTGCAATTGGATCCAGGATTGGCTTATCTGGATCGAACATAAATCTGACTTTGGATTAAATTTTGTACTATTCTAAATTAAGTCGAACTTATGTACCAAATAAGAGATTTTGTCAATAAATAAGAATCCCTTAGTCGCATTAAGAAAGATAATACTAATATGATTTATGGATTTCGACTTTCAAGACTTTCAAATTTCAAAGAGTTTAATCTTGCAAAACTCTCTAATCTTAGAGAGAAGAGGTTATGAAACTTTGGTTTTTCTTGCTTTTAAGTTGGCTTTTGGGTTTATAGTATGTAGACTATAGTTTGCTTATAACATCCTCCTTACTATAACAGCAAGAAAGATCATTGATTATAATATTTTAATTATTGACAAAATCAATAATATAAGCTATAGAGTTAGGATATGTTTATAAATATATATTGTAAAGTATAATAAGTGAAACATGTTTTATAGTTTGTGTACCTAAAATTTTTGTTTAGTTAGTAGTAAATAAATTAGTCAAATAAATTATCTTATTTTAGTCTAGTAATTTAAATTGAGGAATTCTTTGTTACTCTTCTAATTTATAATTTAGATGTGAAACAAAATCAATTGCCCTATCATTAATGCTATATGTCCTAAGCATACTTATTCTACTGGAGGGAATTACGTTCAACTATAAAAATAACAGTATAAGAAAAGGCAGTTTCAGCTATGAAGCAAACATGCAGATTTCCTGGCCCTGGCTCAGTTAAATAGCTGCACTCTTACCTTCCGTAAATCAACTCAAACAAAAGGACGCCAATTCCAAATGAAATTGCCCAGAGCCATCATGGAAACCCACTTACTCTTCTCAGGCTCACTTCATTTCCTAACTTATAAATTCACAGCTGTTGATACTGCTCATTTTACTTTTGCTTTTACATTTTACCAAGAAAAAATCTCTGCATTCATTCTTGATGCTATTTATTTAAAACTTAATGGTTCTCACCTTTATGTAAATCTCTCAACTCCAGCGTAATTTTTCATCTATTTGAGCAGGAAAACCATTAACATTTTCTACTAAAAATTATAATTATCTTCAACATGAATAATTTTGCACAGGCTACATCATATTCCTTTCAATCAGAATAAATTTGTAATCTTTCCTTGATAGAGAACTCACACTTGGTTAACAATGAAATATCAGATCATCTTTTCCTCTTTGTCATCAAGCTTCTCCGTTCAGCTTCCCTTTCTGCAACCAGAACATGAAACTCTGATCCCAGCATGTCATGTATATCAATATTCAGTGAGCTGCTCAGCTCAGCTGTCTCTATGATCAAATCTGCATCTACATTGAAACCTAAAGTAGACAATACGCGAACAGCATTCGCAATTCTGCATATGTTCTGCCTCATCTCCAGAGGGGTATAAGCTTGATCTTTTTCAACTGTGGACTGTTCAGAATTATTAGCTTGATCCACTATCATACCATCTCTAGCTTCAACATGTTCACCAACCCATATGAATCCATTACGTCCAAGTATCAAGTCAATTCCAAACTGTTCTAGGTAATGGAAATGCTGTTTGCTTTTCTTCACCAGGAAAGGATCAACTACGAGCAACTGGCCCTTCTCAAGCTGTGTACATATCAATTCCATAAGCAACATCATTCATATGGACATGCAAGATATATTGAGTATTATAAGAAAATTTCTAATTAAAGCAATAAAATTTATGAGACAAGGCTTACAGAATGCAACGAATGGACCTTGTGTGCATGGCCATCGTTCAGAAAAGAATTCCCAGAAATGCAACTATCTTTTCTTACGTCTTTACGTCACAAAAAATTCTAGTTCTAGCCATTCAAAAAAAGAAAAAAAATCTAGTTTTAACAACATAAATACCTCTCTCCTGGTTTACAGCATGTCTCATGGAGTTATTTATTCTGGAACCTAGAGCACCCCTTTTCCCTTATTTTTTAGCTGATATCCAAGTGCACCACAGAACACTTTAAAAACCCAATCTCATGACTAAGTTAATGTAATTGGCCACATTGCAACATAAAGATTTGTCTTGCTGAAGGATAAATTCCTATTCTGGCAAAGTTCTGACTTAACTAAATGTAGGGAGAAAAGAAACAAACAGAGGACAGCTAAAGCATTATTCCCTCCCTTTTATTCGCATTCTTGTTATCCATATTGCTTATGTTAGAAATAAACAGAAAGAATGTAAATAATAAGCTAAGTCAAAGCAGAAGGCATAAGCAAAAACTTTCCAACTAGATACCTTTCCATACTTTTGACTTCTTGCCTGGAGTTGTAAGCTGCCATCATGATGGAAATTACGAACCTCAGCCTGAGAAAAAAAATGTTATTCCCAAACTGAATTGCTTATCATTTTCTTTTATCTGTTATTATATAGCATGTTCATACATGAACACTATAAAACAACAAATAGAAAAGTGTGACAGTGGACTTACACAGACAACATCATTCTCTTCAAAAATACTACGCATGTTGAGTTCATCCAAAGCAGTTCGCCGCCTCTAACAATCAATAGAGTGAAACTTAAAGTAGGAAAACTGGTTAGCAGAAAAAGCAAAAACAGATAGACAACTCTAAGGTTAGCCACCATATGGCATCAGAATGCAGCTAGTATAAACTTTTTTTCCCTCACTGGACATAGAGTTAACTTATAATCCATGTTAGATACATACTCCTTATGAATCTGTGAGGTAGTTTGAACAAACCAAAATAAACAAGCAATCAGGAACTTACAACTATTAACAGATGACGAGACATTTTTACTTCAATGAAATTTCAGAAGCACCAAACCAATGATGGAAGCTCAACTAAAAAGGTTTTGCTAGTCTAAGGATATAGAAGTAGTACTGAATTCTCAATTAAGTGTCCTACCTCAATCAAATTTCAGCATACATTCTCAATACTTTCTACTAAATACAATATTAGTCCATCTCAGTCTTCGTCTGTCTCTTACTACCCACTTTAAGAGGTCAAATCAAAATAGGGGCATCTTATAGTGGTTAGAGAAATATCATGGCACCATTAAACATAACCTAAAATTAACAAATCACCAAACCAAGATATAAGAGCAAAAAATTTAAAAGGAGGAACTATAAACAGCTAATCCAACACATTTTAAGCTACTCCTAAGCTCAGCTAATAGCAAAAGAAAGTACTATGTATAGATACATTTTAATTTCATAGATAACTCCTCTTCCCTCCTACCAATAATTGTTAAAATAGAGTATTTTATTATTAAATATATTAAACAATAATTCATTATTATGCTTTGAATAACACTAAAATTAAAATGAGACCACAATCACTGATTTAGCATCTAAGGGTAATACCAAGGCTATACAAGTTACCTGAATACCATCAGGCATGTTCATGGAAGAAAGCATTAAAACCGCATCTTGGCTGAAATTAATTTCCAATCTCCACCGCTTTTGAGCAACCTGAATATCCAAAAAAAATTGCAAAAATAGTATAAATATACCAAGTATATTTGGGTTCTTTCCCCAAAAAAGCAATGAAAATTCTTACTGCAATCTAAAAATGGTGGAAGTATTTTTCTGGCATTTTTACGCCTTACCTCGACTACACGTCCCACTACGATATCCCCAACCTCTGGCTTGTACCTAAAAGATTTAATAATTAGAGACTAATTAATTTTTTTAAAAAAGGGACCGCTAGGATTGAAGAATAAAATTTGTTGAGAATACTTAGCGCGTAAGGCGCGAACGTAGACCAGTTTGTTGACGCGCTCCACCACGCCACAGACGGTTGCCACCAATTCGCCGTTGAGGTCCGTCGTTCCATGTCCCCTTCAAAAATTTTAAAGAAACGTAAGGGAAAAAAAAGGAGTAAACCAATCAATTAATTTAATTGACTCTTTGTTTTTTGGGCCGAAGGGGGGCGTACTTGAGAAAAGCGTCGTCGTAGTTGACGGGAATAGTATCAGCGACGGTAACAGAAGCGTCGGAATTGGCCTTAGAAGAGAGAGAGTGAAGCTTTTCGAGTGCTCTTTGAAGTCTTATTCTCTGGGTTTGGTTCAATGGTAGCTGTAATCCTCTCATTTCTTTTCTCTGCTATTCAGCAAAAGCTTGGATTTGGGACTAAAGAAGCTCCAGCTGGAAAAACAGAAAACCCTAAACCCTGATGGCTCAATCATTTCCCCAAATTTTCTGTTTTGGCCTAATGGACTACTTATTGGGCTTTTAATGGACAACAATTGGGCCGGTTAACAGCTTTTTTGTACTTCGTTGGTGCTTGTCCTCTCGGAAGATTTCTGTTTTTTTTTTTAATTATAATTAAAACTTAAATTTATGACTTTGTTTTAATGTGTGTTCGTCATTTTTGGGTTGTTATTAAATTTTAGTTGCTTTTTCAAATTTAATTAAGTATTTTTTTTATTATTTGCTTTGTGGTTTTTATATATTTTAATTCCTTAACACCAACATTATAAGAAAGAAAAAAAAAAGAAAGTGCTAAAGTAGGAACCAGAAAAGCTTTAAAATATTAAAAAATAAATCAAAGTTGGGAAAAACCCATTGAAGCAAAATTATGTCAAAGCAACTTAATACTACCAGTGGCTTATCCAAAAAAAAAAAACCATCAACTGCAGTGTGATTCAGTACCAAGTGAGGCAAAAGAGAAAACATTGTAAAGCATCCTAGCAAACCTGCTCTCTAGCAACTATAAATGCTAATTCTCGTGTGATTATAATGGAAATTATGCAAGCAAAATAAGATAATCCAAAACCTATATCCAGAAGGGAAAATTGAATAACTCAATGAGGTATATATCATATATAAAAGACTAAAGTCGGTTGGCACTGTACCTATAAACAAATATGAACTATGATAAACAATCACTACTATACTGGTGTTTCTTCTTTCAAAATTCTTTAGCTATCTGTGCCCCAGGATTTCGGGGCAAGAATAACTTGTTGATCTTTTTTGGACCCCAATTGTATCCCCACTTGTGTTTTGCAATTGTTGATTGTCTGCACCTTGACTTTATCCAAACAAACTCAGCCTTAGGCGGACTTTGGACTAAACCACTGCCAGTTGAGGTTGCTCTAAGTATCTTCAGCTTCACGGCGTTGGGATATCTTGAGAAGGTCACCACCAATTTCTCGGTCATCTTCTACTTTTTCTCGCCGGTTTTCATCTGAATTACCTAGATAAGCTTCTGAGGTCATGCCCAAGGTAGCCCCTCTTCCATTCTCTTGGACATAAGCACGGAAACTGTTTCTTGAAGGCTTTATTTTGGAGCAGAGTGCTTCTCGAAAGTTGTTCAAGCAGCCACGGTCATATATACGGGGCCTTTCAAGTCCTCGGTAGCGAAATGCCTCATATGTGGTCTAAAGAAATAAATACAGAATTAGAAAGTTGTTTATAACAGAAAGAGATATAAAGTAAGTAGCTAAAAGAACCTATTACAAACTCCTCCTAGAAATCGAAAATTTGGAAATAATTCCTTCCTGAAACCTCACCCGCATCTCTGTCTATCTCCCTCCTCCCCCTCTCTTTTTCCCTCTCAACCACATTACATTTTGTTAGAAGTGTTTTGGCATCATGCTGAACCTACATGCTCCAAATACATCAAAACTATCATTATTCACATATCCCATTTTACATCCTTCTTTTTAATGCCAGAAAATTCTTCCCCATATAATTCACAACTTGCCTGTCAAGTTTCAACTTCTGAAAAAGAGATAAAAAAAAGACAGAGATAGTACAAATAAGAAAAAGCCACTTTGAGCAAATTTGATATGTTCCCGAGGTCTATAATTCTTCAAAAGAAAAAGAAATAGACTGAAAACTTTATAGTGTGGCTTTATAGACATGGCTGGTTACTTGCATTCACAAAAAACAGGAAGCTAAAAGCAGCAATTCAGACTATCATACTGCAACCACTTACAATAAAGGACAGGAAGACAATAATACTCTCCACATGCCAAAAAAGATAGAAGCAAACTGACCTGGTTTGTGCTTATAAGATACAAGTGGAAGCAGGTAAGCCCTCCAACAAACCAAAGGAAAATGAAGCAATAAACCATTAGTACCACTGAAAGAGGTGACTCTTTCATTGCCTTCCAGACTGTTCCATAGTCAGCCATAAGGAATTTTATGTTCAAAGCAGACATTGCAAAGATGAAGATGCAGAGAACGGTTGAAGAAGAAATGAACAGAAAGAATGACCGGTAGTTGCGCTGCATTTAAATAGAAAGTACTCAATTTATTTTGAAAATTACTTCAAACTAGGCAGAAAAAAAAAACAAAAGGGAGGGAAATGATTCTTTCTTTTTCCACTTATTTTGGCGGGTGAGGTGAATGAAATAATTCAAATCCTTCCCATATGTTATGTATTATAGGTGGAATTCAAAATCTCTTTTGTTTTTTTTTTTTTCTTATTCATTTTTAAGCAAATACATGTAGTAACCTCAACCAAACTCATATATTGCTTTTTAAATAGCGAACATATAAACTTTCCATGTAGTGCAATTCATATCACACTGGTGGATTCTTCACTGTATTAACAAACATTTAATTTAATGGAAATATACTAACATAAATGCTTTTAGCTAATTTATTTATTCAATGTTCATAGATGTTATATGAACTATATATTAGCACAAATGTAATACACATATATACATATTATACACTTTTATTACTATATATCTCTTATTTAATAATAAGGCTCAAAACTTTTAAATATGAAAACTCCAACGAATTTGGCATGACATTTTTTTTAGTATTTTTAATTTATGTTCCAATAATGAATAAGAATTCATTCATGATTTAGTAACTATATAATTTTAAACAAGAGAATATATGAAACTTGATTTTGTTTATTATATAAATGTTACTCGGATTGAGCAAATCCCCTTTACAATGATTGATGATATTTATCAAAATCAAAACATCAAGTACATTAAAGATGATACTTCTTTTATCTTTTTCAAAATGCATTTGAAGATAATAACGTATTCAAAGCTACTTTTACAAATGTGGAAAATTTAATTATTTGTGGTGCAAGATTATTAGATTTTGTTTCTCATGCATTGTAGGAAGATTGAGTGAATGGCCAATAGAAACACACTGATTTCAGCAAGCAGATAGTCCATTATCTAAACTACAGGAGAGAAGCCTGATTCACATACCATTCCAATGCACTGGCCTACCCAAGGACAGTGGTGGTCAAATCGCTCCACACAGTTATCACAGACAGAGCAGTGTGAGCAGCGAGGTGGACGATACAACATGCATGAGTTACAATACTTCACCCTTACAGGCACACCATTGACAATGAGTTCTTTTGTGGGGGGTAGTCGCGGGGTTGGCGTTTGTCTCCCAAGAGCATCAATAGAAGCTGAAGAATCATAACATATCTCTTCTGTTGGGGGATGAAGATTGCGAGGAACAATGCCAGGGTCTCGGGCAGAGGTAAGAAGAAGTACTAGTAATACCTATCACAACCAACTAAGGAATTACAATTGGCAAGTTGTGTGTCCAAGCAAAAAAGGAGGGAGAAAAAAACAGAAAACAATGATAACCGTCCAACACATGGTTGTGTGAATAAAAAGTCATAGCACATGCTCACAAAATGAACTTGATGCACATTCAAATCCATGACTTTATCAATGTAAAAGGAAATTAGGAGAGCTGATAGAGCAATCTTCCCTGTTGTATCAAGCAACATGTCATTTTCTTAAAAGAAGTTAGAGAGATATTAAAAATGCTATTTATACTTTAATTTTCAGGCAGGAATCTACAATAAAATTAAAGTACAAGGTCTTAATGATGTTTAAAAGCCACAGAGGGTTACTAACATATACTGTGAAAACAACTGTCACCATTAGAATTGCATAGCCAGCAACAATTCCTGAAATTTCACTGATGAGGTTCCTTGCAACATTTGCACAAAAGATGATAACGGGAACAATGATCAGCAGTAACGTAATGATCAGTGACTTAGCATCTGGACCAAATATAAACCTCCCCCCGAAAATAAATATCTGCAAAGATGAAGGCAATATAAGCAATACATTCAGAGGATAAGTTCATAAATAAGACATACAGAAATTAGAACATGTAAATGTATATTATATACACATAATATGAAGCATTGACAAATATGCATACATATATCATATATATGAGTTGAAAGTTTATAAGACAGGAAGGCACTCCAATGGTGGCATTCAGGATTGTCATTTCACTAAATAAGGATAAGATTAACGTGATTGAACAAATTAGAGAAATATCAATTTTGTGTCCATGTCTGTGTATCTCTTCGTCTGTTCATGCACAATTATGTCATTCACCAAATCCATATTGAAAATCCAAATGTGAGGTTGGAGTTTATTAGTCCAGTATAGGACAGCGATGGTCTGCATTTCCATGTTCACCTCCGTCCAAAGGGAAAATTTCCTTTCAAGATCAAATTTTAAATTTTTTATTGCAAAACCATTAATATTTGACAGATGTTATTAAGCCCAAAGTGACATAAATACAACTTTTATACTTTAAATTGGTCCAAATGCTAATGACTTTTCCTCACCACATATAGATATGATGTGTTAACCACAGAATGAGAGCTTCAGATTTGAGAGACCCGTAAATAAGTTCAATTACCTTAATTCAAATAATATTGACACAATGTAGTAACCGATAAGGTTTTGCTGCTATCATATTGAACACTGGGGAGGCTCTTAGACTGTGATAAAGGGATGGTAGATTAATAAAACTTTGTCATGAATGACATTCTTTCAACTTAATAACTTATGCATTCAAAAGGAGGGAAAAGTCGACAGAGAGAGAAAGATAAAAGGGAAAAAATTAGTAATGTGTAAACCATTACGTTTTAAAGTTATAAAATTCCTTTGATGATGATAAGTTACCAGTGCAAAGCATGTTTCATGATGTTTGTTACCTCCCCAGTTCCCCTGTTGCCCCTCTCCCTTGGTAGGTTCCTAGTTTTGCATTCCTTTGCCTTTCAAGAGCTAAAATTGATTCTAGAAATGATCATAACCCAATCTCATCCTTTTTCCAATCAAGAAAATGGAAATATCAAATAAATACTCTCCTAGGATGTTTTTTGTGGTCTCTCTACAAGATCCTTCAAATATTCCATCCACGTCAGCAAACAGGTATTGACAGAGCATAAAAGGGCAGTAGAAGAAATTGAATGCCTTTAAGTTTTAACTGGCAAGAAAAATGAAGAGCAGATTCAGAAGGTGCTTGTTCTTTTCTAAGACAGCTAAATAATTGATTCTTCCAATTCAACTGTTTATCAAAATAGCATATCCAATTTTTCCTTCTCAGGAAAAAGGAATTCCTTTGTGCAGAGGGAAGAATGGGGAGTAGAAAAGAGAGCAAACAATGTGGAACAGTTGTAAGAGAATGCTACTACAATAATACGCAGTGGAATCTAACAAATGTGATAAGCATATGAAAACAAGTGGAGAAATTAGAAGCAACAATTATTATTAATTAATCACTCAGGTTCATTTGGCACTAATTTTTGAAAGAGTTGAATTTAATAATCAGCTAAATTCTTTCATTCTTCAAAGCCATGTCCGCGACTAGTCTAGTAGACCTACAGTAACTGGGCTAGGAATAATCTCAAGCACCTTAAAAGGTTACCATTTACATCAGTATCCTTTAAAATTAACTGAAATCAACATACGGATATCCTGTGTTAAAGATAATATAAATATTATTAATTGCAGAATCCAACATAGCTCCTCCCTTTGGGAACTTCAATATCATTACTCTACTGTAAAGATTATCTCATACAAACTAAATGTGAACCTTCTGACAGCATGCACATAACCCTTTCCTTTCCCTTGTTGAAGCACCTAGTTGCCAGCTATAGAAGTCTTGAATCTGAGAATCCAGAGCCCTATACCATTACTGCATACGCTTCCAACCCCAAATAAAGCATTTACATTATGGTAGCACGAAATTAGATTCTCTCCGAGTTTGTCAGTAGCAGCACCTTCACTCCTAAGAGTGCTAACAAGCAAATGTACCAAGTAGGAAATTTTTGCCAGTCCATCTAATTGTTTTCGCTATTTCAAAATGGGACTGAAGATGCTAGCTAATTATCGATTCCCTCATGCACAGTAGAAATCATGTCTCAAGGATATGTTTTTCATGTGGAAGACTAAGGTGGGAAGCTGCCCTGCACTATTTAAGGGACCAAACATTTGACTTAGCATGTTTTTCAGAGTGTTTCTCATTGCAAATTGCTCTAATGATGTTAGACTGTCAAAGGACCCAGTTGAACTTTTACACTTGTACGTATTTCATTTTAAGTATGATTGTTTTCACTAATTTAGGTTCTATTTTAGAATTTTGCATGATAGTTGGTCAGTGCATTTCACAAGTTTCAAATGCCGATGAATTCATAAGGTTTGTATATACATTGACATTACATGACTGCAGATGATGAATGACCCTCTCATGACTATATAAATATATTTTTCCCTTATTTCTTCTGCAAAAGTAAACATCCCATGCCTGACTCTCAAATTTTTTGCCTTAGGACTTCTAGAAATTAGATATGCCACCAATTGAAGAAAGTATAACATTTAAACATGCAATTTGCAAGAGCTCCAAGGAGTTGCTATCCCTTTGTAACAAGTGTTCCGGCCATATTCAAGTTTACACAAGAAGAGAGAAAATTTTCGCAAAAATCCACCCTAGAGCAAGAAATGCTTCAGATATAGAAACAACAATGTCTATATCCACCTCATGTTATTCACCATTCATCCTATTATCTTAGTTGTTACGAAAATATAAGAACTCAAGTCATCTACGTGCTAGATTTTATTATACAGACACTTAGCAGGGATAAATTTCGAATTTCCAATAGCAAACTTTAGTACATACCAACTAAATTCAAAATTCACCCTTCTTGTTGGATATCAAACACAAGAATCTCTTTTTCATAGACCCTCTTTAACCTTAATGTAGAATGCACGACCCCAAGAACTATGCCACGTTTTGTCTTAACCTTGCAAACAGAACAACCTATCTATCCCGGATTTAAAGAAACCAAAAATGCAAAATCAAACTACCCCCAGATGACAGGATAAACAAATGCTAGAAACTAACATGTATTGATAAAACCAATTAAATTAGCGTACACAAAACAAACTCAAATGCAAAAATGAAGCATCAACGAGCAGGGAGGTAAAAAAAGAGAAGGGTTGGCAAAGAAAGCATACATTATTGCCCTTCCAAACTTCATACTGACGCTTAGCCATTATGGAATGTTTCCAGTTGAACAGTCACCAACTTGAGCAGCTAAAGAGACGAATATGTGAAACTTGGGTTCAACCATTTCTTTTGAAAGTGAGAGAAAGAGAAAAACAGGCGGTTCTGGGGTTCAAAATGAGCTGGAAAGAATGATGGGTTTTTGTGGGATTTTTGTTTTTGGCTTTGCTTTTGCCCACTTTTCATCTTACACTTAACCCCCTTTAATTTCCTTTTTTTCGTTTTCTGTTTTTAATATAATCCCGGTTCATTGGCAAAAAGGAATGTTTGTTTGGCTTTGCATAGGGAAAGGATCCCTCGTTGGTATTGGATGACTTGGAATCAAATCCTACTATGAAGATTTGAGCAAGGAATATTTATTATTTCTAGAAATATTCTTTGGGTTTTCGTTTGAATGTCTGAAATGGCCTACTCTTTGAGGCTTATTTCATGAGGTTTCCATGGGTAGTTTGGGGAATAATGCAGCAAACCAATGGCAGGATTGTGTCCGTAAAATGCATGATAAAAGCAAAAGGTGTTGATTTCTTGTAGGACCAGCAAAGGGACAAATTGTATTTCCTTGGTGCCATAAAGTTGGTCTAAGTTTCCATACTTTCATGGCTAGGAAGATTCTATAACAAGGGAGCAATGCCCATGCACGCCACTGAAAGTATCACCTTACCTTGATTCCTAATCCATGTGATCCTATTCCTATATTCAAACTTTTATTCTAAAGTTTATTAATCGTGGAAGGAAAAGGATGATGTCCATGTGGAGATGATAAGTTCTGTCTAAAAAACTTCATTTTTGTTCAAGGCAAGACCTGAATGGACTGGCCTGGTCATTATGTCTCATAATTTGGGCCGGGTCTGGGCAAGGTCTCAGACAGAATCTTCAAGGTGGGCTGGGTTTGATCAGGCTAAAACCTGCTATATATTCTATAAATATCATGAGTGTTTTTTTAAATTAACGAAAAGAGATTCCAATTATATATTTTAAATAAAAAAATTATATATCGATTAATAAATTAAATATTTGAGTGTAAATATTATGATTTTTATACAATAAAAATATGTTTGATCTTTTGTCAAGAAAGAAAATTGAAACTTGAAAGATCAATACGACAAAAGCAAGAATGGTAGGCCACAAATTCATGCACTTGCTGTTAATTTCATGAACCCGAGCATGTTAACCGGTTCCTAAAACCATCCAAGAGATTTGTGATGACATATGGCCGCAGCCAACAAAGAAACGTCCACTTCATTTCCAATGCCGAATCAACCTCCACTGCAAATATGTCTTGCACACTATCAATTTGTTCTAATTAATATCTTGCTCTATAATTTTGGGATTTATTTAATCACTTTCTTATTATATGTGGAGGTTACCTTATTAAAAGCCATGTTTATTGTATATTATATATATGTATGTGGTAAAGTTGGTCAGTACTGCAATGCCTCATTCTTTTAATTTCTACATATTTCTTTATTCTCCTGCAGTATATTAATTAATATACTGGCTTTGATCGACTTCTATGTGCTGTCGGCAGTAGAATACAATGACAAATGAAACAAAATATATTAGAAGTGGTGTCGATGCACTTGGAACTTCATTACAAATTTTTCTACTTGCTGCATATACATCTTTTCATGTGTTAATTATTATGTATAAGGTGTCTTGTTGAAAAGATTGTGGCTAGTGATTTTTGTTGGTTCTTTTTATGTAGATGGCCTCCATCATGTCCTGGTGTTGCTCCATCATTTCTAGCTAGGAGCACATGAAATCACATAACAAACTCAAGTTTCTAGGATTTTGTCAACACCACACTTTTGTTTACAGCTTAATTGAATTGGATCATATCTCGTTAATCGTTGGCTATTCATGATTTGCCATCAGTGGTTTATATCCTTTTATTTTAGTTGTATTTTGCTGATTCAATATGTTCATATATTCCATCTTAACATTATCACTTACGATATGGCAGTGACTCTTTGATGAAGAAAAGGATGATAATTCTCCAAAGCTTTTATATATGCATACAGGCATACAACTGATATATATGCATATATGGAATAAAAGCATCTAATAATTGAGAAGTATTCTAATCTTGAACCTTTTTCTCTTGGCAAGCTAATTTGGGTTGATAAATCAGTAAGCTTTCCAAGATTTTTTTTTTTTTTTTTGTGTATGGAGAAGTGTATGAATTAATGTGCATAACTAGTTGCCTGCATTTCAACAGTTGCGTGGGGACAATGGTTCCCCAAGACATTTATCAGAGGCAAAATATCGTTGGAAGATGCTCGTGGCCGGAATGCTTATATATGTAAATTAAGAATAACCAAATAAAGATTGGGGAACACAAAACCACAAGAGAAGTCCAACGCCAATTTTGCTAATATTGCTATATATATATATATATATTCATTATCATATGTTGTCTTGTCAAGGAGGAAATGTTTACAGGTTTTATTTCAGCATGTATGATTATGGTTTACACAATAATAACTTACTCCTCTTTCATCCTTGTTATTTTAGAATTTGAATGTTCGATATTTGTTAAGTTAAAATCTCGAATTTTTTACTATTAAAGTGTTCTCTCCAGAATAGAGAAAATGCCATAGATGATACAACAAACCCGGATAATATTTTTTCTTTACTTCTACAAACCAAAATTCAAGCAATGTTTGGGACGAGAGAAGGAAAGGATGAAGGGGAGGGGAGGGAGGAGGAAATGAAGAAAATTATTTTTACCTATATTCGGTGGGAAGAAATTTGTCCAAGGAAAGAAAATATGAGAGAGTTACCCCTCTCCTTTGTCTCTCCCTCAGCCATTTCCTTCTATTTCCCTCATAGTTCCCAGACATAGGCTTAATGTGGGGAAAAACAGTCAGTCTAGGAAGTTGTATACTGAAAATGGTCATCAAAGTTTTGGCTTGCTTCATCTAAACTGAAATAATAGTTTATAGCCAAGTGACAAAAAAAGGACTGCAAAGAGATTACATACTTACCTAAGATGAACTTTTTCCCTTAGCCATTTAAGTAGCAGGCTGCACATTCTCCACATCATATCAATCAAATGCTCTATATTTTTCTTTGCCTGGAACAGTTTGAATATGATTAAAAACTACATCTAAAATTGATACTATTTGAAAACATGAACTTTTAGGCCATATATGATAACAGTGCGTTGAACATTCTATGGCAGTGCAAGCAAGTTGTTTAGTTTGTAACTTATTTTCATTTTTGAGATCTTTACTCTATTCCAATGGGGTGGTGTTTACTGTCTCTCTAAGCATAATCCTTGGGAGCTGTGTTACTTTCTCTGAATTTGTTTCCAGACAAGGATTTTTGTGCACTTTCAAGGGTTTTCCAAATTAGTATCATTCCATCTGATCCAAAACTAACCATATAATTTTATGCAGCAGAACTTTGGGCTCTGTCTTCTGTTATTTGCTGCTTGATATATATGTTTCATGCACAAGTTTTCATATAATTTTGTCACCCTCGCTGCTGTTGCATCAATATATTCAAGTAGGAAGCACAGCCTGGTAAATTGGTGTGCAGTTCAATGATTGAAACTGGTAATAATTATTCATGTATCCCGTACTATACTGATACAAGCCAAGGCTTCTCCTTGGCATATGTTAAGTTGTGAAGTCCTGCTACTATATTGAAAACTTGCATGATCTTTATTTACAAAAAATGCATACACCCTAGAGAGTATGTGAAGCACATCTACCAATTCTTGATTCTCATATTTGTAAAACATTTCTATCATTGTTTTATCCTTTCTACTATGTATAAATGTGTACACTCAAATATAAAAGTAGGATTAAGAAAAGGAAAAAACTAAACTAGCTATAGTACTAGTTATACAAAATTTTGCCTAGTTATGGATTGGAGGCTTCCTTGTTGCCGGAGTGTAGTCCATAGATACTAACTCATCAACATTAATTTTAGGTGCTTCATCTTCTGTTGCTGTAAGCACCTGATCATCATGAACTTTCTGAGTTTCCTTGGCCACTGGCATGTTTCTTGCTGCAACACAAAAAAAAAAAAAAAGAGGGAGTTAAGAGACTCCTCCACATCAAATTATTTATTGAACTTGTAAACAGACCAAAGATAAATCAAATGGAGATTCAAAAATTTACCTCTAGCAGTTGTAGAGATGAAGCAAAAGAGGAAAAAGGCAACAAGAAGAAGATGCTTGCAAGGAACCCTAGCCATCTTAGTATTTCCCTTTTTTTTTTTTTTTTTTGGGTTGATATCAACTTCTTTTCTGTGAATAACATCTTCAAGTTGCCTGCTCTTATATAGAACTGGCTATCTGCATACATAGACAAGTGGTGCATTGATAGATAACGACATCAAATTTTGTGGTAACTCTACGTGACTAATGTGGTCTTTTTGAGTCAACATCAATGTCTCCTGCTGTCTTTGCATGAAAATGCTAGCTTTAAGGCTCAGAAAAGAAAAGCTCCAGTTTACCCCTCCAAGTACTGAAGGTGTCATTTGGAAGGTTGTGGTTAAGTTTGTATATCCTCATGATTGACAGCTAAGGGGAACTGAAATTTTTATCATTTTATGTTCATCTCTCAATGATAAGTTTATATGAGTGGGAGGGATGAGGAAACTTTCCCTGTTTTTACCTTCTTGCCCAAATCATCAATATGTAATTTGACAATATCTTGGGTTGATAAAGCATCATTCACCAATTAATCTTAAACAAATACTGAAAAGAACTGCAAATTTTTGTTGTTTAATTTAATTTGAGGCAAAAGATATCAGACGTCGGTAGTTATATCAACTCAGCTATTAGACCAGATTACAAGATTAACCTTTTAACTGCCTTTTCTGTTCTCCTAGTTAATGTTGGTTTATGGGATAGAGAGATTGATCCATTTAAGAACTTCAGCTAGAAATAACTACCTCATCTCAACATTCATCTTTCATATGAAACTTTTCTCCATTCTTGTTTGTTTCATATTGGTCTCATTTCCTCGATTTTGCTTGCTCAACTTGTATGAAGAAACAGGGACCAGGGAACAGCTTCTAGCAGAGCGGATATGTGGACCTAATTTCCTATACACCTAAGTGCAAACACTTATGGTCCTGCATTGCTAAGGACTAGCAAGTTTTAGTAACAACTAACAAAGCACAAACATAGCAATTGCCAATGTTCATGCACAAATATAACATGAAAAGATAAGAAGATCCTTGGAGAAAAATATACATTGGTGGCCAGTGTTACGTCCTGTT